TTAAACAATAAAACAAAAACTACTCAGGGGGGTTAGGGAGGCCTAAGGGCAAATTGGAAGATAGAATTGGCAGCCTTTTGGGTTATGATGATCTAGAAAATGAGGGTTAATGTTAAGGGCACAGGGAGAATTCAGAAGGTGTAGGTCACTGAAAACACAGGGATAGTAGATCATAGGGGGACCTTTTACCTATGACAAAGATAGCTCATTGGATGTTTTCCAGTTAGGGGGATGGCTATTTTTGTTATCTTCTCTACCCCTCTTTTTCCCCAAAATAGGAAACATTAATATCTGCTTGATGGGGGATCCTGGTGTGGCCAAGTCTCAGCTTCTGTCTTACATTGATCGTCTGGCTCCCCGAAGTGAGTATCTTTAAACTCAGTTGCTAAAGATAGAAAGAATAATTAGACCTGAATGTTGCATCTACTGCTTTCTAGGGAATCAGCAATATAGATTGAGAAATCATAACTAGAGTAGATTTTGAGTAGATGAAAGGGGTAATTGGGGGGAAATAATGGTAGTGGATTTGATGTGCTTGACTCTTTAGTTTCTTCAAAATAGTGGTGGCAGATGGGGGATAGAATTGTTCCAGGTGTAGGGAAGGGAGAATATAGAGATTTGACTGGGATAGTCAAGTTAATCAATAGGCATTTATCAAAGGTCTACTATATGTCAGCCATTTTAGTAGATGCTGAGGTTACAAAGAGAAAAATTAAGCTGTCTTTGCCTAAAGGACAGTTCTTTGGAAAGAATGTGTGTACCTACTAAATAAATAGAAGATAATTGGGGTGGGGGAAGTACTAGCTGTTGGAATTATCAGGAAAGGCCCATGTAGGAGGGGCAAGAGCTGAAACTAGGGATCTTTTTTTTTTTTTTTTTAAGCACAAGGAATTAGTTATTAATTAAGTGACTTGCCCAGGGTCACACATCTAGTAAGTGTTTGAGGCCAATTTGAACTCAGGTCCTCCTCACTCCAGCGCTGGTCCTCTACTGTCCTACCTAGCTGGGGGGGTGGAGGTAAACGGAGTACATTCCAGATGTGGGTAGTCACCTGTAAGAAGACTTGGAAACCGGGCATGGAATGTCATATGTGGAAGCCAGTTTGCTAGCCTGAAGAGTTGTTACTTATGTCATTTCTCTCCTTTCAGCCTCTCTCTCACCAATGTCTCTCTTTCAATCTTTTTGCCTAACTTTCCACCATATATGTTTTTATCTTTCCCCATTTGTTTCTGGGTTTTGTTTTGTTTTCTTTTTCCTTTCTTTTGTAATTTATTTGTATTTGTCTCTCTGCCCCTGACATCCAGGCCAGTACACAACAGGTCGAGGGTCATCAGGTGTGGGACTAACTGCAGCAGTGCTTCGGGATGCAGTGAGCGGGGAGCTGACTTTGGAGGGAGGTGCCCTGGTACTGGCTGACCAGGGTGTGTGCTGTATTGATGAGTTTGACAAGATGGCAGAGGCTGACCGCACAGCAATCCATGAAGTGATGGAGCAGCAAACTATTTCTATAGCAAAAGCAGGCATCCTTACCACACTTAATGCTCGATGCTCCATCCTGGCTGCTGCTAACCCTGCTTATGGACGATATAACCCTCGTCGCAGCTTGGAACAGAACGTACAGCTTCCTGCTGCTCTCCTGTCCCGATTTGACCTGCTCTGGCTCATCCAAGATCGTCCTGATCGTGACGGTGACCTGCGGTGAGACTACCAGAGACTCCATTCCTCCTCACCTCTTTGGAGACACTTGACTCATCAGCCTCTTTTATATATACTTTAGCCTTCAAGAAGCTCCTAGCTACCTTATCCTCTTGCTTCCAGCAGTGAACCCTTATCCTCAGAGAAACACACTAGGTTACCCTTCCAGCCCTGCCCAGAGAGACAAGGTTGAAACATTCCAGGGACATTTTTCCTTTGGGAGAATCATTCCTGATTTCATTTTTGTGGGAAATTGTTTTGAGGATGAGTATGAATCCAGGGATGTTACTGACATCTTCTCTTCTCTTCAAGGTTGGCCCAGCATATCACCTATGTGCACCAACATAGTCGTCAACCTCCCACACAGTTTGAGCCACTGGACATGAAACTTATGAGGTAAGAAGGCTTTTCCACTAACATGTGTCAGGACATTCTAGTACAGCTTAAATTTCCCAGTTTCTTCATGTGTGCGTATGAGCAGCTTAGGTGGCTCAGTGGACAGACTAATGGGCCTGGAATCAGGAAGACTCATGTTCCTGAGTTCAAATCTGGCTTCATCTGTAAAATGAGCTGGAGAAGGAAATGGCAAACCATTCTAGTATCTTTACCAAGAAAACCCCAAATAGGGTCATGAAGGGTCAGACACGACTGAAATAACTGTACAACCACAACAAATGTATATGTATATCCTTAGAAAGGCTTAGAAGAGAAACCATATGATGTAATGGAGAGAACGTTAAAATCAGGAAGACGGGTTCAGTCCACCACTGAAATAGCTATATGATCATGAGCTAGTCTACTTAACCTGAGTCTCAGTTTCCACCAACTAGCAAATGAGGATAATGAATGAATGCATAAATACTTTATACATATATTAAGTTGTTGTAAACTTTAAAGCCCTATGTAAATGTCTACTGTTACTGTTGTAGGCCTCTTTCTTTGCTCTAGTATCTTAGAAGTTTGGAAAACAGTGGGTTTGTCTTATTCCTATGTCTGAATCTCTATCCCTGCTTCAGGTCCCTTGATCCCTTAGAGTGAGAAGATATTGGGAAAAGTTAAATTGGAAAAATAGTATTCTGTAAAAATTTTGAATGTGGTTCCCTCTCTGGCTCTTAACTTCACTAACTTTCCTCTACTGTAGGTGGGTGGGTGTGTGGGTGGGTGTGTATTACACTGTATCATTTACATTATGTATTTCACACGTCTCTCTGGGACTAGACTTAACCTGGGTCAGTAAGGACCTGGTTCTCTTTTGTACACCAAACAGGCCTCTTACATAAAGTTGATTCAATAGAATTTTTACAAATTGAATCACTTATCTAAAATAAGTCTCCATATATTACCCTACTTTGTGTAAGTTTTAGGGTTTTCAAAAATTGAGGTACAACTAGTGTGCTAAACACATAGTAGGTTCTCAGTAAATGTAACATAAATGGATGCCAGATTATAATCGTCATCCTTTCCCACCATTCTACTAACCTTTCACAGGCGTTACATTGCTATGTGCAGAGATAAACAGCCTGCGGTGCCCGAGTCTTTGGCTGACTATATCACAGCTGCCTATGTGGAGATGAGGCGTGAAGCTTGGGCCAGTAAGGATGCCACCTACACCTCTGCTCGGACTTTACTAGCTATTCTTCGGCTTTCTACTGCTTTGGTACATAGCCTATTACCTCTTATTTGAATCCTTAATTCCTGTGGGGCTATTCCTTTTCTGTTCTCTACCCTACCACAGGCTCTGCCAGGGCTACTGTCCTGTGGGTATTTACTGTCCTGGTGGGGACCTGATGCTCTTCTGGCCAGTCTGAGTTATCCTCACAATGTGTATAATACCCAACTGTTCTTTTCTGTCTTCCCATTGTTCTCTAGGGCAGGGGTTCTTAAATAAAGTACATAGGATTTTAAAAAAAAATTATGTTGAAATATATAATTTAAAAGAGTTTTTTTAAGTTCATGGGCTTCAATTTAAGAACCCCTGCCCTAGGGTCACTGTACCCCAGATCCTAGGCCTCATCAGTCTTGGGGGGCTCCAAAGTGCTATTCGTGCAGGTAGTGTGATAACCTGACCTACTGCTGAGCTAGCACTTCCCGAGCCCCTGAGACACTATACCCCTCGAATTCCTAGGATCCAAACTTAAAATCCATTTTTTCTTTCCTCTCCCTTACTGCTCTAGGCTAAGGCTGGCTCCTTAGTAACTCAGGCCTTTGTTGATGATTGATCTAGTTTATGACTCTTGACTAAAGCTCCCCATCTGTTGGGATGGATGTTGGGGTAGGTCTCTTCTCCCTTACAGGACACCTGGACTGGCCAGTGTTGAGAGGCGGAGACTTGGGCAATTGCTGAACACTGCCCTGGGCATTGCACTTGTCTCGGTCTGACAGTGCTGGCAAAACACTGCAAATCCTGGGGGGAGGGGAGAGGGGTTGAATGGGGGGTATCCCTAGCTCTTTTTCACATACACACAATATTTGGGTAATAGCTTCTCTCTCCTATGAGGTAGGTAGTGAGTTGCTCAACAAAAATTTCTCTTCCCTCCCCCCACCCTTCCCTAGGCTCGTCTGCGCATGGTGGACACTGTAGAAAAGGAAGACGTGAATGAGGCCATAAGACTAATGGAGATGTCTAAGGACTCATTGCTAGGGGACAAGGGGCAAGCAACAAGGTGAATTAACTGGGGGAGAAGGGAACCTTCGTTGTTATTTAGTAGGTATTCAAACTATAGTCCTTTGACACTTGTCTCCCCATTTCCTTAGAACCCAGCGACCAGCAGATGTGATCTTTGCCACAGTGCGGGAGCTGGTCCCTCTGGGCCCAGGTAGCCAAAGCATCCGTTTTTCAGAGGCTGAACAGCGCTGTGTGTCTAGAGGCTTCACACCTGCCCAGTTCCAGGCTGCACTGGATGAGTATGAGGAACTCAATGTATGGCAGGTTAATGCTGCACGAACACGGATCACATTTGTTTGACCTTAGGGAACACTTGAGCAGAGCTCCTAACCTCTTCATTTTCTAATGCTTAATGCCTGAGTGCAGGGAAGATGGAAGTTTAAAACTGCTACAGTGTGTGTTTGTTACATATTTTCATTGCTAATAAAATGTTTATAGAACTCTGACTGCAAAAAAACTAGAATTTTCTTTGGGTGTGTGGAGTGGGAACCACCCAACCAGTTATGGTTAGTTCCCCGGGCTTTTCGCTCAAGTCTCCGAAGAAAACCATCTTTCTTCACATCTTCTAGTGGTATCCCTGGCCTCAGAACTTACATACAGGGACTCTAAACCCTAACTCCTTTTAACAGAGAGGACAGAATCACGGGAGGGGGAACTATTCCCCATTTATTAACAATTTGGGTGGAGGGAAGCTATGCAGGCTTGAGGGCTTCTCTAAAGGGGATATAAGCCACTTTCCTGCCTTTGGGGCAATTGTTTTCCTCAGTGAAGCAGATCTCTCTGCCCTTTGCCCTCACTTATTGTGAGGGAAGGGTTGCCCCCTTCTAGAAGAAAAGTCCTCGCATTCGTCTGCCGATGCCCTGGCGATCATACAGGACGTTGAACTTATTTACAAACTGGTTCATTGTGTTGCATGTTTTGGTGATGGTGCCAAGGTAGGCCATGAGCCCAACATCATTACATTGCTGGAAGGGAGGGGAGAGACAAAGCCTGGGTTACCTTCCAACCACCACTGTTCCCAAAGCTTGCAAAAACCTGTAGCTCAAGGGTCAGATGACAAACCTATAGTTATCCCCCAGGTAAAGGCTGAATGACATTCCCTTGCATATATTACTAATGCATCCATTTCCCAGCCCCACAGGTTAGACTCACATCATAAAAGTCTGTCTTGAACTTATCTGTGCTGAGCACAGGGAGGCAATGACACAGAGCATAGGCTTCACGCAGGATTTCATGATTAAAAGGAACCTCCCCTGAGGAGATAAGAGAATGAAAAGTATGAGACATTTATCTACAATTTCCAGCCCTTTCCCTGATAGGCTTTTTTGGCAAAGTGCTATGTTTCCCAAGGTTCCATTCTGGTTTAGTGAAATCCTTAAGAAACAGGTAAGGGACACATTTGTCCTACCTGCTTCAGAAGCCTTGACATATTCTAAGATAAGCTTGACCCGACTATGCAGCATCTTGATGGCACTATGCTGGGCTATTAGGTGCTCTGCCACTGTATTGTAAGGAAAGCATCAGAAATGCTAAGTTCCCACCTCTCAGGCTCCAGACAGTGGAAAGAACTCTCATCATGTTTCTCCACTTACCAGTAGAGTTCTCTCCACTACCTGTAGCTGTCATTCGAGCCACATGATCCACACCAATCCGCTCAGCTTCCTCTGTGGCTAGTGTGTAGGTCAGTTCAGCAAATAGCATTGTTGCCTGGAGAAAAAGTTATCAAAGAGGTGGGAATGCTGAAGGAGAACATCACAAGCAGATACTAAGGCCAAGGAATAGGCAGAGAGAAGGGGATGAGCCATAGCAAAAAGGCCTTGGGCAAGTAATTACCTCTCCATTGATGATGTCGATGACTGACTCAAAAACACTGACTGGCAGCTGTTGTGAGAGACAATGGGTCAGATAAAGGAGGAAACAGGACTGACATTGAGGAACAGATGTACTCAACTGACAGGCCCAACCTGAGGTCTGGAACACTCACATCAGTGTGCTTGGTCATGGGATTTAGCTTCAGGAATAGAGGGCTCTCGATGATCTCACACACCTGGGGAGGGAAGGGAAGTAACTACACCAATAGAGTCACAGAATATTAAAGAGTTAGAAGGAATCTGAGATCACCTATTCTAATCCCCTCAATTTAACCAATGAGAAAACAGGCCCAGAGTTGGGACCCAAAAGCCAAGATCTAGTCAACAACAAGAAGTGCTTTTCGAAACCTTTTATGTACATTTGCTCGACAGTGGCTATATATAAACCAGGCTTCCAGATTTCTATTCCAGTGCTATTTCTATTGCATTACCCTGTTTCCTAGAAATCCTTCCATATCCCCCCCTCCCTCACCCCCATCCACAGAATCATATAACATTAAAGCTGGTAGCCACCTTAGAGATGATTTAGTCTAATACTCTCATTTTACAAATAAGCCTAGGGCCTTACAAATGAACTGTGGTCTTTCAACTCATTATCCAGGGCTCTATCTACCATGCTGACTCTGCCCCACATTCTTCCCTGCCCAACTCACATGTAGCTGTCTTAGGGCTCTTACCTGCTTGTGGACGTGGATGTCAGAGGGATCTGGTGGACCCCCTGTGGTATACCAACCTAGAAACTCCAATTCCTTGAATACCTGCTTAACTGGGAAAGGCAAAGGGAAAGGGTAGAATAAAGAATTTCTCACTCTACCCATCCTTATCTGGGACTTCCTGGCATATTCTCTTTCCCATCATGCCATCCCAACCACTCCTGGATTCCTATATAAAACTGATCATTTTTACACCCACCTCCCCCTCCCCACTCCCCATCTAATCCTTCCCAACCCTGGCAGCCCCTTCCCTCTCACACTGCTCCTCTTTGGTGTAGTAATATTCTTTGTCAATGATGATCTTCTCCTCCACTGTGTGGGACAGCAGCTCAAATGAATTCATCACCTCAATATTTCGTCCCTCCTGTTTCCCAATCAACGCTCCAATCACTAGGAAAGGAAGGAAGACCAGATAAGAGAAAGACTCTGGATCCATCATCAATCACTTTAAGAGGACCTGGGGTTCATAGAGCTCTCAGATTCGTGGCTGGAAGGGACCTTTAGAGGTCGACTAGATCCAAACCCTAATTTTACAGATGAGGAAAGTGAAGCTCATAGAGTTGAAATGAAGGTCGGGACTTACAGATTACAACAGACCAGGAAGTAGAAGCCCTGAGTTCTAGCCCGGCCTCTGCGGGATGCCCGAGGCATTGACTGCGAACAGAAAGGGAGGGAAGGTGTCCAGGCTAGGCATTTAGGGATGGGGGTGGGAGGTGGGGCAGGGAGCAGCTCCTGGGGTGGTGAGAGAGCCCCCCCCCCGGGAGGAAGGCGGCCCCGCGGCGGGGGGCACGCACGCACCCTGCACGGGCCGTCCCTCCTGAGAGCGCATGCGGATCCAGTGGTCGGAGATGTTGAGGATGACGAGGGGATGCAGGGCCACGGACACGCTGCCGGTCACGCCGGAGGCCATCACGCTGGGGAGCACTGGGGGCAGACACACACAGACACACACAGACACACACAGACACACACAGACACACACACACACACTGAGTGAGGGAGAGGCCCGAGTCTGCCCCACTCTTTACTCCAGCCCCCCCCCCGCCACTTAATGGGGCGCAATGGTTTTATTTTCTCTATATATCGAGGGAGCGGCTCCCCAAGGAGCGGAGCATCTCCTCGAGGCAGCCGTGGGTGAGGGATGTACAAAGGCGGACCCCGTTACCTGCGGCGTCCACCTCCATCCCGCTGCTCCCACTAGCCCCGTTCGCCGCCGTTGACGCCATCTTGCCCGCATCTGCCGGCCTCTGCGGCCTCCCGTCCTTCACGGCCTCCGTAGGGGACCGGCGACGCACGACACATGCGCAGTGGCGCTGGGTCCGGGGCGCGCCGCCGTCGCTTTTTCTCCGTTCTCTCTCGGTTACCACCCACTTATTCCGCGCTGTCCTAGTTCCAGACCCCGGGCAGAAGGAGCGGTCCAAGGACCCGGAGGCCGCTCTCCCGACCCAGTTTTTCTGGGAGAAGCCGAAGTGTGGCCTGGGGGTTTAGTCGCCTCGTATTCGGGGCTTTGGGGTAACGGTAACTGCCCCCGCCCCGCCCCCCACCTCCTGGAGGAAGGCGGGGTTGTGGAGGGGCCGTGCCCAAGGGGGCAGCTGCTGACCCAGGAGAAAAGAGATCGTCCCTCTGGGCTGCAGCCGGGGGCCCTTCAGTTCTAGGTGCTAGACCTAGAACACTTAGCGGTGATAGAGAGCCCTTTCCTCTCCCCCCACATCCCGGGACCTGCCTGTCACCATAGAGGCTGGAGGTGGGGATGCTATTACTACTGCTGCTACTGTGCTAGAAGAGTAACAGAGGAAATGAGCGTCAGGAAAGAGAAAAGAAAATAATCACTTCTTGCAGATGTGATGATTTACTTGGAAAACCCGGCCTAAAGAATAAATTAAAAAATTAATTGAAACTGAACCAGCAATACTGCTGATAAAAACGCATGAAATTATTCTCTATAGGCTGCTAGGTGGCGCAGTGGATACAGCGCTGGACGTGGAGTCAGGGACACTTCGGCTTCTCCCAGAAAAACTGCCGAGAAGTTTGGAAAGGAACAGGTTTTGGAGGGAATGATGAGTTTACTTTTGGACATGTTGAGTTTAAGATGTCTACAGGACTTTAAATTAAAAATGTCCAATAGACAATTGGAGGTGTAAGACTGAAGATCAGCAGAGGTTAGTGCTAAATAATTAATTTGTGAATCATCAGTATAGAGAGCTGAGGAGATCACCAGATGAAATTATATTGGGGGGAGAAGAGAAGATGAATGAAAGAACATCATAATGAAAGAACACCACCAGCAGAGAATCAGCAAAGAAGCAAAACTATTTTCTCTTGGAACTGGTCTGTATGGACAAAGGAATGATACATGCACATAAGAATGGAATGTAGAGTTGATGTGTGAGAGGCTGAATTCTAAAGACCAAGCATTGGGAAATAGAGGTGGGACCAGGGATTGATGTTGACCAGGAAAGAGCATTTATGAAGCACCTATTATATACAATTCATAAGTATTAACTCATTTTAGGGGCAGCTAGTGGTGCAGTGGATAGGGTACTGGACCTAGAATCAGGAAGACTCACAAATCTGGCCTCAGATACTTAGTAGCTTCCCCGGGAAACTCACTTAACCCTGTTTGGCTCAGTTCCTGATCTGTAAAATGACCTGGAGAAGGAAATGGCAAACTACTCCAGTATCTTTGCCAAGAAAACCTCGAATAGGGTCACGATGAGTCTGAAACAACAAGAACGACAAGTAAGAATTATTTTTTCAGGGCAGCTAGGTGGTGCAGTGGATAGAGCACCAGCCCTGGAGTTAGAAGGACGTGAATTCAAATTTGGCTTCAGATACACAACACTCACTAGCTGTGTGACTCAGGGCAAGTCACTTAATCCCAATTGCCTCACCAAAAAAAAAAAAAAAATTATTGTTCCCATTTTGTAGCTGAGAAAATGGAGGCAGTTAAGTGATGGGCCTAGGATCACACAGATAGTAAGGTTATGAGGTTAGATTTGAATTCAGGTCTTCCTAACTCCAAGTCTAGCACTCTATCTATTGTGCTAGCTAGCTACAGTAAATATGACTTGATCATCAATTACTTATGGGTCCCTTATATCCAGCTAGATTCATATAGCATCCCACAAAAATATGTTGGTGAAAATATAGAATGTGGAATGCACTGCTGTGATTGACAGTTGGATCTCAAGTAACCACTATATTCCAGTCATTCTGGAATCTCATTCTGAGATATATTTGAAGAAAATATCCTTACAACCCATGAAGTTGGTGGACTGAGTAAATAATCCATATTTGAGATACATTGGAGAAGTTCAGGTTTCCTGAGGAGTTGGTGTCAGATGGCTCTAGTACAGCTGCCAATTATTCTGGAATTTCATCACTGATTGGAATAAATTTTAGTCTATTCAAGGTTCTAGCAGGATACTGCAAGCAGTAAATTGGGGCCCAATAACTGCACACTTTGACGATCAATTTAGCCTGTACAGAAGTCTATGGGAAGAGAGAAACAAATGATGGCAATTAACATCTTGAGGGCAGTAGCTCTTCAAAATTTAGATGTTTGACTATGATGACTCTTAGGGCAGAAAATTAGTGAGTGGAAAGATATGTTCTCTTTGTATGAATGTGTAACAGTCCTCTAGCAAGGCTTGGAGTGGCTCTAAAGACCCTCATCTTTCTTTCCAGCCTTGGAAGAGAGGAAACTAACTTGAAATCAGGACTAAGGAATGGACTTTCCCTCCTGTCTCACAGCAGGAGTTTTGGGAAGGATCTCAGGAGGAATCAAGAAGAGGAAGGTGGTAGGGTCTACATGTAGCAGCAGTGTGACCACAACACCTGGTGGAAGTGACATATGTAGTGCTCTTACTCACACCAGTCCCAACTATCAGTTATTTTTCTTGGCATTCTAGCCACTAGAGAGCCTGCAATTAAAAAAGAAAACCACAAAAACCTCACAGTCTTATGCCTCTCACTTGTCTATTTAACTTTCACTTCTCATGCTATTACTTGGAAGCATTATGAGGATAAAATGTGATAATATTTGTAAAGTGTTTTGCAAACCTTTTAAGCTCTATGTAAATGGACATGTGAGTTGGACATAAAGAGTGACATAAGCCAATTAAAGAGCAAGGAAGAAATTTCAGATCTTTGAATAGGGGAAGAATAGGTAGGTATCATGTTTCATCTTTAATCCTCTGAAATCTTGGTTTATAATCACATTGAGCAGATTTCCAAAGTATTTCAAAGCTTTTTTAAAAATGTATTTTTTTAAATGATGGCATTGTGTAAACTGTTCTAGTTCTGCTCATTTCACTTTCACTCTGAATCAGTTCACAGAGATCTTTCCAGTTTCCTCTGAAACTATCCATTTCATTACTTTTTATGGTGCAAATCATGGCACAACATTCCTGATGTCATGGGCCTCTTTGAAGATGAAGGACAAGCAACAATGGTGCAATAATACTCCATTAAAGACAGCTGGGTGGTGAAACATGAGGCATGGAGTCAGGAACTAGTGGTCTTTACTTCAGCCCTCTTACTTCAGATAGGTATGATGGGCACCCATTTCTAATTATGTCCTTTTATTCTGTTAAAGACTGCATCTGACTGACCTAAGATTAGTTCTCATAAAAACCTGTGGTTGACTCTGTCCTTGTGTTCCATTTTTTTTCATGGAATGAAGGTACAGTATGGCTCCAGGGGCCATGGAAGAGAGAATTATCTTTGCTAGCACAGAACTACTCCTTCAAGGGCAGAATTACTATGATCCTGGGACCTTTTAAAATCCATTTTATCAGACATGAGCCTAACAGTGACTTAGGGCTTCAAGTGGAACATAGAATGTGCCCAAAGAGCAACTCACAGGATTCATCTCACTGACTTCTGATAATTCAGAGAATTAAGTAGGAAAATTCCTTTATCCATTATGGAAGACCTCAGAAGCCATCTGAAAGAATATCATCACAGAGTCTAGCAGCCTATATATGTCAGTGGTGGTACAAAAGCAGAAGGTTAGACTCGGAATAAATAGAAGCACTAATTAATCATGTCCAAAGAAACTTGGAGGTCTAAGGGCTTTTCTAGGATTCAATGACAACTTTCACATGTTTGTTGAGAACTACGGTGCTATTGCTAAATCACTGAATGATCTCACTTATTTAGAGGATTGAAGAGAACCAAAAGCAGAAAGCCAAAAAAAGTCACTTGCTCTAACTAATATGAAGTCATTGGAGATCTACAGACAAACAAATGTAAAGAAGCTTTCAGAGACTTGGTCAGCTGCCTCAAACATGCGTCAGTGTGGGCCTGTGAAGATCCAAGCAAACCTTTTGTCCATGTCCAGATCTAGCTAGACTGGAGAGTCTGAGAAAAGCCCTGTACCAAAAGTGATGACCACCAGAAACTGATTTTATTTGCCAGCAGAAGACTTAGTGCATGTGAGTCTTGATACTCCATACTCTAAGAGGTAGAGTTCTTGGTTTTAAAGTGGATTGTCATTGAAAAGTTCAAAAACTACATTTCATACACTCTAAACCTTGTTTCTCCTTTGGAATTTCTAGCGTTTGAATTGCTGGTGATAAAAGGGAGTATCTTTATTCTCTGCCTTGAGATCTTTTAGCCTTTTTATAATAATAGCCAACATTTATATAGCACCTGGCATGTGCCAAGCACCGTGCTAAGGGCTTTACAAATAGTATCTCATTTGATCTTCACATCAACCCTGGGAGGTAGGTGCTATTACTATCCCCATTTCATGAATGAGGAAATTAAGGCAAACAGGTTAATTGACTTGCCCAGCTAGTAATTGTGTGAAGCCTTATTTGAACTCAGGTCTTCCTGATTTGAAGACTTATGGTCTATCCACTGCACCAATTGGCCTTCCTAATAAGAAGGTCAGATATGTTATATGGCACGTACCTTTTTCAGAAGTAGGAATGGATATTATCACCAAATAAAAACTTTTCAGATGTGTTTCACCTAATCTACTTCTTTCATTGAAGGATAGGAGGTAGGAATCTTCCAAATGAAGGTTTTGCCTTTGTATCAAATATAGCAAAGCTTTCTTAAATTTCAAGGTTTAATATTTAAATAGATCTATTAGATATTAATATGAATCAAGTATTATTTTTTTTCCAATTAACAAATATTTATTTTATGTCCTTCCCTAATATGGCCTCTGCTCCCTCCCCAACTGAACATCAACAAAAAAGAAAAATAAAATCCTCAGAACAAACGTAGTCAGGTGAAGCAAATTTCTTCATTGGC